AGTGTGATATAAAGGGTCAAGACTTCCATTTAAATATCTTATGGGATAGGGGATGCATGACCTAAAGTATCCCCTTGAGGCACCAGGGACAGCTGATACTTGTATTCTCATGAATGACACTAGTAACTTGTCAAGTTTGTGCAGAAGGTGACCACTTATCTTGGACAAAATAATCAACTCTAGAAGGTCTGGTTCAAGCAATGAGTCCAAAGGTTGCCTCCAGAGACATTGTCCCCAGGATTGGGACAGAGGCTGGCTTTGATGCAACTGGCAGTCCGAGTAATAGAAAAGGACCTATGGAGAGCAGAAATTAGATTGGAAAGGGCTAATGGCAATGAGAGAAGGCAGCGGGAGGCTGAGAGCCTGAGTTCGTCTGATGAAGGAATCATTCCAGATTAAAGAAGATTGGCAGTTGATCAATTGTTCAGTATTCTCCTCTGATGGACAGATATGTAAATAAAGGATTAAGGATATGAAGTGACCTTTCAGAATCATGCAGGGATGTTTCTGAGCTCATCTGAAAGAAGCTGAGGCCCTGGAGAGAAGCTGGAACCCTTGGAGGTGAGACTGTGTCTGAGAGCTCAGGGCTGCAGGGGAAATGAGAGGTGGAGGGGGAGTTTCAGGGCCGTGGGAGGCACGTTTCTCTTCTGACATACACTTTGTATGAGGAAGAAATTTGACAGTTGAAAGAGAGGAAGTCACTACTGAGTGCTGAGAAAAAGGGTTGCTGACATGAGAGATCAAACACCAGCTGGGAGTCAGAGGTCCTCTGGCAGAGAAATGCTGCTCCCGCTACTTCTACTGCTAGCAGTTCTCTTCTCAGGTGGTGACAATCAGGAAGGTAAGCAGCAACCTAAAGTGGTACAGAGGGTTTGTTTGAAAGCAGGTTGCACTTGCCCAGGTGCACCTGGACTCTGAGGCCCTGCCCTCTCCTGACTCCAGCCTTCTTCCACCAGCTGGAGGTGGGGCTGCAGCCTGAGGCCCTGGGGCTCTCAAATGTGTCAGGTGTTAAGTTTCTGCAAACCCTGGGATCTTGGTTCCTGCATCTTCCCACTATCCATGTTTTTTCTTTCCCTCTATTTTCTCTCCTTCACTTAAGTCTTTTCTGGTTTTCTTCACAGCCTACCAAGGGCCGACCTCGTTCCATGTCATGCAAATCTCATCCTTTGCCAACAGCACCTGGACCCTGAATCGTGGCTCAGGCTGGTTGGAAGATCTGCAGATTCATGGCTGGGATAGTGACACAGGCACTGCTATATTCCTGAAGCCCTGGTCTAAGGGCAACCTCAGTGATGAGGAGGTCACAGAGCTGGAGGAGATCTTCCGAGTCTACTTCTTTGGAATTACCAGGGAAGTGCAGGAACGAATCAGTGACTTCCAGTTGGAGTGTGAGTCCAGTCCTCAGAACTGAGGGCTTCCTTTGACTTGCTTACCCGCTTGCTTCTCTGCTCCCTTGGTCCCTCCCCCTCCTCCCTTCTTTACCCAGCTGCATGCACACACTTCTCTAGAGCAGGCTCCCTGTCCGACTCCTCTCCTCCACAAACTCTGATCTGGCTGCGCCCTCACTCCTCTCTGACACATGAATGGCTTTGCTGCATGACCAGCCCCTGGTGTGTCTCTGGTGATACTTTCTCCTTATTTTCCTATTTGTGTCTCAGTGATCTAAAGTGTGGTTCCTCCTCTTATTCACCCTTTCAAACACAGCGTGGTCCATTTCCCTGTGGACTCCTGGTTCCCTTGGGAAATCTGTGATGGTGACTGCATAGCACTATTCCTCCCCCTCTGCCTCTCCTCTGCCCTATAACCACATCCCCTTTACCACATCATTGTGCCATTCAGGAGAGGCGCAGGTGTCCCCCATGCTCTACCTCTGAAAGTCTCTAAATGCTGTGATAACTTATTGATTCACATTCCACACTTTTTCCTCACCCAGAATCTGTGTCCTGGGTCCTCCCCACATTGCTTTCTTCTTGTTTGCTGGTTAGTAACTTTTATTTCTGTTTTCCTTCTGCACAGATCCTTTTGAATTCCAGGGCATAGCAGGCTGTGAGCTACAGTCTGGGGGAGCCATCGGGAGTTTCTTGAAGGGGGCTATAAAAGGACTGGATTTACTGAGCATCAATACTACCTGTTGGCCTTCCCCAAGCGGTGGCAGCAGGGCACAGAAAGTCTGTGAATTAATCGCAAATTACAAAGGCATCTTTGACACAATAGAGCACCTGCTCTATAAAACCTGTCCCCGGTTTCTCTTGAGCGTCCTGGAGGCAGGGAAGGTGGACCTCCAGAGACAAGGTGAGTCCTGCCGTTTCCCTTTCAGTTCTCCTTAAATACCAGAGTAGGCAAGCACCCAGGGAGGAGGAGGGCTTCATCAAGGATTTATTGCATTCCCAAAGGAACAGAGGGGCTTAATGTGCACATCAGTCTGCTTCCATGTGCTCTGGGTCAGCACCAGCAGGTGACACTCTCCCTGCCCCTGTTGCCCTAGTGAAGCCCAAGGCCTGGCTGTCCAGCGGTCCCAGTCCTGGGCCTGGCCGTCTGCTGCTGGTGTGCCATGTGTCTGGCTTCTACCCAAAGCCCGTGTGGGTGATGTGGATGCGAGGTGAGCAGGAACAGCAGGGCACTCAGCAAGGTGACTTCCTGCCCAACGCAGATGGGACCTGGAACCTCCGAGCAACCCTGGATGTGGCAGCTGGGGAGGCGGCTGGCTTGGCCTGCAGGGTGAAGCACAGCAGCCTAGGAGGGCAGGACCTCGTCCTCTACTGGGGTGAGGAAGGACTGGGGCCCAGCTGGAGGTGGAGGGAGGGGGTGCCCCAGCACAGAGG